GAGTAGTCTAACCAGTGCATACTCTTCTATTAAAACGTGCTAATTGCTAGACCCTTATACCCCTTAAGGGTAACCTAAGACACATTTTAGCGGCCCAAGTTCAAACTTCCCCTCATTTTTCACTCAACAAGTTGTGGTTCTTTGAAGAGTAACAACAATAATCTTGCTTTCAAAAAAATATCGAGCAGTATCACATTGTGTTGTACAATCTTTCTTCTTTCTTTCAAAATCCAGTCGAGGATTGTACAATTTATCTAGCCAAACATGCTGTAAATGTTTATACAGATGAAGAGACAATACAGTTTTCTCAAATTTATAAACTGAAGACGAAAGAAAAAAGGTCAGAGGGATGACCAGGGTGGATATGGGCATTCATAAGTCCAGTCTGTCCCAGCATATCTAACACAATGTAGCCATAATCCCTCTTCACCTCCATCATAGCTGCACAGAAGACAGAGGTAATCAAGTTCTTCATTTTGTTAGGCATCAGTTATACAGCACACAATCCACATTAGGCCAGAGGTGCAAACTGGGCAGGTGAAGTTCAGATTTTTGGCCTGGCTGTAGGCGTGGTTGGGCATAAACCATAGTGGGGCGCTCAAGCACAATGCAACCCAGCTCATGTTGACACCCTTACTACATTAGGTGCAGTATAAATCTTTAAGGGAGGGATACATGATTCAGAAGCCAAAGGCAGAAACTCATATATATACCACAAATAATTAAATGCCAAGAGAAAAGGATGGTATGTAGAAAAGATGCATAAATCCACCAATGAATAGTTCTAGATAAGAACCGCAGTTTCAAGTGACGCAGAATTACTGATGCTTCACAAAAAACAATTGGATGATCGTCAGGACCCAATAGACTCTAACTTTCAAATGAATAACAAAATCAAGAGTGCCTCTTCAAAATTATTCTAAGCAGATATTGTAAGATTCTTACATTTGTATTCTTAACCTAGTTTACAGTCTTAGTTAACACGCAAACATTACAACTCAGTCCCTAAAACCTCATATTTTTTTAATATTTTATCATTCAGCAAGCTGCCATTATCAATATGTTTCTTAACCACCTCTTTCATTAGAAACAATATATATTGGTAATGAAAGTCCATGTGCTTCAGTAATCCCATTGGGATTACCAATTACCTAAAGCTTTTATATGATTATTGTTCATATTATTATACAAAAAAAGCTTACATGAATATATATATCAAGCTATCATGTTTACTATATAGGGAAATAAAAAAGAATTATAGACAATGACAGATGACGTTACTGCTATAATTGTACAGACACCTAATCTTAAGAAGTGTGTTAGATGGTCTACCGATAAGTGAAAAACGTCAGCATGTGAAAGAAAACATGTAGTGAAATATGAAAGATATGGTGGATATGTTCACTACCGAAGAACGTACAACAACTTGGTTTCGTCAAATCAAAAACAAGGAAAGGTGAATCTAACGAAAAAGAGAGAGACGGTTAACTAGTAGAACATTTTGTGTAATTAGCTCAAGACGCATTTATTTTACAAGTTTTTTTTTTCCTGTTTACATATTTATGTTTAAGAACCGATTTGCTGATTCAATATATTGTGAAATATGGATTTATTGGATTGAATTGGAATTGGATTTAAAGTCTTAACGAGGTTCTGTTGCTCTTGTTTGTCAATGTAGCAAAATGTGGTGTATTTTTAATGTAGTGGATGTTATGATGTTAGGGATAATTATATTGTTTCACATATGTGTAAATTCGAAGAATGTGAGTGATATCCAGTGGATGTTGTAATTGGGACTTTAGCTGGATATTATTTTGAGACTGCCATACATTACCTTGTGTGTATGTTGATTTGACCTATTACAAATGTAAAATTGTGACATATTGCGTTGATTGAGTGAGACCTAAGAGATTGTGTGACTAAGGTTGCTAGTTATTAACTGAACTTATGGTCCAAAAGAAATTAGGAAACGGAAACTTTGGAGGTTGGGTGGATGTTTTATTTGAGTCGAATTAGAACAGATCGAAGTAGTTGGTTCAGTTTGGTTTCTGGAGAAATTTAACTAGTTCTTGTCTTTGAATTGAGAATTGAATGGTTCGTAATATGATTATTTGAAAGACGTTGAGGAAACACTATTGTTTACATGTATATTTCTTTAATTCTAACGAAGAAACAAAAAATACATACAAGTATATATATGGACACAATTCATATAGCTTCATCCCAAATGAACTTAAAAATCAAAACCAACCCTTTACTTCCGTAAAATTATTTTATTAAAAAAAAAGGCATCGATTATACCAAAGGTTAAAGAGAGACCAAGATAAATGAAATTGATTAAACCTTAGTCTCTTCTTCTTCCTTACATAGTATCAATTGCGTTTGTGTTTGCGTCCTTGTTATCTCTCTAGGCGATCTAGCTGGGGAGGAACAAGGCGAGGACGATATTCCAACACCCATCAACGCAAGGCAACCTTCGCTCCAAGACCGCCTAATAGGATATGACACGCTTCTATATTTTAACATATGCGAGCAATTTTGACGCGATTTATGTAGTTGGCACCTGCAATTTTTATGGTATGGCCTTCTCTGGATTCCCATATCGCTGCCTGAAATGCACCCGTCAAATACACCCCGGAGAAGTCCATCTCCAGCTGCACCTGTGGCCATTAATTTCTACCCTAGATTTGTTTGTGTAATATATTTTCTTAGCTAGAGTATGGTGGAAATGGTCCAAAAATAGCCCATATTTTGTGTTTAAATATCAAGACAAAGATGGTTGGTAACTTATCATTAGCGAGCGCCATATGCGGCAATATGGGTGTTTCATAAAGTTTTAAACCATTAAAATATCAATCCTTGTACAAACTACATGTCCTAGACCTAAGGAGAGAAGAGAGAGGAAAATAAGTACTTGAGAGAAGAAAATAAGGTTGGATAAAAAAAAAAAAAGGTTGTGCAAATGCCCAAGGTAGAAT